TTATCATATAGTTTGAAAAAATGGGTGAATAAATAGGGTACGAAGCTGTTAATGTAAAAAATAAATTATAGTTGTTACCGTGAACTTGCGATATTCTTTAGTCCCCGCATAAGGAGAAAGTTGAAGTTTCATTGAAAAGTAAAACAACTAATTCAAATTCTAAAAAGAATAAAATAACTTCCACATGATAGCTTCCGAAGTCGCGGCTACAATTCTTCGATATAAGTTGTTTTGGTACCGACTTCAGAAGCTGTGATGGGGAAATTATATAAATAAAAATTAACAATTTATTATTTCATCATAATATTCTTTAAGATGCAACATAATCAAATTTCTTTTTATCTCTTTCCAGGTAAGTTGTCTCTGTACAAGTGGCTGTTAATTAGAACAAACGTAATATCGAACGTAATAAGTATTGCCTTTTCTTCATAGTTATTTTTACAGAGTAAATTTTAATGTTTATTTTTTATGTTGATGTAAAACTGTTTGTAATACACTCACCGGCACGGAAACTTGGCCACTCGTGAATTTGCTGATTATTTGCACTGAAACGTTTTTTTAACAGTAAATTAAGGGTAGATGTATTGAATAAGTGTCTCTAATGGTTTTAGAACATAGAAATTTAATGTTTACTTCACCGAAATTTTTCTTTTCAAGATAACATGTTTTCACTAAAATTAACATCTTTCCATTGTCACTTTAAAAACACTACAAAGTTAAAAAATTAAGTCTGTTTCTTTATTGTCTATCAGTTTTAATATCGGGTGTTTCCTCCTCTAGCCCTCATAACCGCTTGCATTCGATCTGGCATGCTTTGAATGATGTTTCTGACATCAACTTGCGGTATGCTGTCCCAAGCTGCCAGCGCAGCATTTCGGAGCTCATTTAGAGTTTGTGGCGGTTTGGAGCTGGACTTTATCTTTCTTTTGAGCATACCCCATACATGCTCAATTGGATTTAAGTCCGGGCTACGAGCTGGCCACTGTAATTTTTGTATTCCAACCTCTTCCAGATATTCCTCTACACAATGTGCGACGTGCGGGCGTGCATTATCGTGCATGAGGAGGAATTGGTCGTGTCCAATGAATCCCGAATAAGGCATTACGTGCTCCTGAAGAACTTCCTCGATGTATCGAGTAGCTGTAAGCCGATTATCGACGATGACCAACTCTGTACGTGCGTCGGAACTTACACCTCCCCATACCATTATTGAGCCTCCATGGAAACTCACAGTTTGGGTGGTAATGGGTAGAAACCTCTCTCCTCTTTTTCTCCACACTCGTTCTCGACCGTCTGGAGCACGTAAAGCTATTCGACACTCATCTGTGAACAACACTCTAGCCCATTGCTCGTGGGTCCAATTGACATGTTCTCTTGCGAACTCAAGTCGGGCTACTCGGTGCTGTCTGAGAAGTTCTGGACCTCGTGCTGGTCTACGAGCTTTTAAATTCACTTCCTCCATTCATCTTCTCACCGTACGCTCACTAACATTAACGCCTCTTGCGATTTGGAGCCGCTGGCGTATCTCAACAGCGGTCAGGTAGCGGTTTCTCAAAATCTCCATAACAATAAAACGATCGTCCCGGGCCGATGTGCACCTTACGCCCCCACTGCCTGGCCTGCGGGTGTAGCGGCCTGTCTTCTGGTATCGTTTCAGTGAATACTGCATTGAGGACCGTGGTACGTTAAGCACAATAGCAACTTCACGCTGTGTCAGCCCTTGGTCAATTAATGCTACTGCTTGTGAAACTTGTGCTGGTGTTAATGGCATTTTTATTGGCTTTAAAGCACCTTTAGTTATTTAATTAAGACACAAGATCACAATAATTGAATAACCTTACAGTAAACTTTTCACAACACACAAATTTAAAATGTGAACTTAGTCGCTCAAATGACCCGATTCAACTAAAAATTAAAGAATTCGTCATGGTGCACTTAAACATAATGAATTACCCTCTTGAACTTGAGGGTAAACATTTTTTGACATACTTGCATAACAAACATTCATCAGAAACACTTAAAGCTTTTGCTATCGCGAGATAACCGCTTGGCCAAGTTTCCGTGCCGGTGAGTGTATCTGCTAGTATTATCGCAGTTGAGAGCACTAAGCACTACGCTGCGCTTGGGGACTGACAATCACATTTCAAAGCATATCGCTTTCATTAATGGGATCGTTTTGTTACTTTGTGATGTAGTTATTCCACGTATTTCGGATAAAAGATAAACGAAGAACAGCCTATTTAAATCCCACAGTAGGACACAGGCCTCTTATTTCTGAGAGGTTTTTTGCAACAAGAGTCCCACACATTGTCCTAATACGTGTTCGGGGACTTCACACGTCTGTGGAATATTTGTTCTTAATTTCCGATATCTGTAAATTACTTCACAGTGTTTTACTTATGCCGGGCGTACACTTATGTAAAAACTGAATGACAGGCGTGCAGCGGGCTTGGGACGGCTTCGTGCTTGAAAAACGTATACTGTTAAATTTTTGTTCTGTGTGGCGCTCGTTTAAAAAAAAGAAAGACAAAAGAGCTTTTGCACACAATGCTACGCCGCGCCGCTCGACCGTCAATCGTTTTTTACCTACTATTTAAGTGCCAGCTGTATTTGAGCGTTGTATTTAACCTTGCAGCGACGCTTTCAACGTTAATTCTGAGTGGCCTTCTATCTCAGACTCTTACCAACTCTTACCAACTTACGTTCGACTAAACCGAATTACTACCGAACGCGCCGCTACACCGCACGCTCCGCAGAACGCTCTCAACTCACGGCTTAGGCTACCGTTACCGTTACAGCCTATCAGAAGTCTACTACTAAACATATGCCTCCCTCAAACATTGACTCGTTTTTTATTATTTTTCATAGTTGCCACGCTTGGCATGCAGGTTGGCAACCCCAATTTTTTATTGTCATAAGTTACTCACGGAACGATATGGGCTATTGAATGTTTTACACAGCGACTTCACGTAGATAATGTAGTCGAAGATGGTTATTTACATTTAACCTTCTTTGTTGTTTCGTGTTTTACATTGTAGCCGTGTCCATCATGTTGTGATTTCCTCATATACCGCCCTTTTATCATTTCAATCTCTTATGTTCTTTAAAATACTTGAAAGTATGAATCGTAGTTGTTGCTTTACGGCAGTAACCTCGTTGAATTTTATTCGTCACGGTTTAACCTAAAGTCAACACTCGACCTCCACCTTAGTTCCGTAGGTGTTCCGTGACGTGACCTACAAGCCTGATCACGTTCTAAATTTGTTTGATGTTATCTGAGAATGTCAATTCAGTTATGACTTATTCTTTTTCTAGAAATCCAATGGATGGAACGTTCACTCAATTTATGTGGTTAAACTCTTCAATTTTAGCGTTTTTCCCGATATCTCTTTAATTTTTATAATAATAATTTTGTATAGTCTATATTGCCATTTAAGTGTTTTTAGTTTTTTACTTATTTTACGGTTTGTTAACCAATTTTGATGTGTGAAATTTTCATTTTCGAAACTTTTTAAATAACACTGGCGATCTGCCCCGGCTTCGCATGGGTGATATCTGGATTCTACAACAACGTCACCTACCGGATTAAAATAAGCCTATAACCGCGGAAGTAAACGCAAATAAATTTTTTATACTTAGGTTTTACTATATTACAATATCAAATTCAAATAAAATATTTATCGGCATGTCATCGTTTACAAATTAGCAATACTAGTACCAATACATACAAATTTAAATATAATGAGGATTAAAATGCAATTAAAAATATAGAACTACTGTTGTGTCACATCATATCAAATTCAGGTAATCAATAACATTATAAAAACAATGTTCATTTAGCCACCTATGAATTTAGCCGCCTTTAAATTTATTAAGGGGTAAGTGTTTTATGTTTTCTGGTATTTTATTAAAGATGTATGGTCACCCCTGAGGGCAAAGATGGAATGCCTCATTTCCAATAAAGACTCCACACTCACCATACGAAAAACAGCAGCATTAAGCTGCTATTTTAAGCTGGTATTCGGTGAAAGCGTGGTCCTTCTCCGGTTGAGCCGATCCATTCGTGCTGCAACCATAATATAGCTGAAGCGTGGCTTTACCACGTGTAATAATTAAACAATAAATGAAACGTATCGTATTCTAATTAACGTTACGTCATACGTAATATGTATATATACTATCTATGTACTATATATTATATACTAACGTCAATTTATCCTTTCCGATCCTCTGTTTAAATATTGACGTGCAAGTCAATCGTTCTTTGCCTCTCCCGTGTAAATATGTTTAGCTGTTATTGGAACGAAATCAATGTATGCGATTCACCGAATTCCGCGTAGCGGATTTCGCGGCTAACCCGCTAATAAAAAGATATTTTGGAATTTTTCTTCGATGTATTGCTACATAAGCGTATTAAAAAAACTCGACTGCGTAAAAATGTTGGTTGGTTCAAGCTACTGGGTGCACCGCGTACAAACGAACAACACATTTAAGTTGCAACATATTTCAACTTTTCAGTTTACAATATATTTCAATTTCTAATCTCATTCCACCATTCCGCTACTGGCGTGAACCACTTCACACCTAACACAATCATTTCAAGGCAACCAGGAGTGGTTAAAGGGAATAAATATTAGCAATGTTAATAGCAATGGTAGTTTTTTTTATTTGTAAAGAAAATTTTAATTTTAATTTATCAAGATCATAGTTTGTTTTTACTAATAAACACCAATACTCTTCTTCTTCGTAAGCGGAGTGATTGTAGATACTCGTACATTGTAGAAAATATAACCAATTTTTTAAAGTATAAACCAATTAGTTAACTTCAGGTGTAAAAATCCCATTCTACTTTTATTTTATTTATCTCGATAACTAGCCGATAACTTTTGCTTTGTGAATCGTTAATCGCCATTTGCTCCATCGATTTAACGTTGTTCCATCTCTAGACACGTCAAACTGCAAACTATCATCCCCACCATGCTACAATGCAAAGAATGTAATTAACAGGATATAAACGAAGCTTTCAATAGCAAAGTGCCTGACAACAGCAAGCACTGTAGCTGTACTGTACTGGTAACTGATTGGCAACTATCGCCGGTGTTGCAACGCGCCGGGGTCAAGAACAATGGGCCGACCTCGTTGCCGTGCGGTTGTGCCGCTAACGGCGCTGAAGGTTTTTCTTTGTCTGTGAACGGCTTTTAACGAGCAATCGATGTTTTCTTCATGGTTTATCTACTGCTATAATGACGGGAAGAAGCCACTTCTTGTGCGCGTTGAAAAGACCGTAAAATAGGCTCAACTCTTGAGGGAAATGAAATTAAAAATTTTCACTTTGTGATATTTATTATTTAAATTGCGTTATTGGTTTATTCACGTCTTTAACGTATTTTATTATTTCATCATCTTCATCATCATCATTAGAGCCTATCTATAAGTCCACTGCTAACTATAGGCCTCCTGCAAGAAATGCCACAAAGCACAGTCCTAAACGGCTTAGGACTGTGCTTCCATCGACTTCCTGCATTTCTTAACCTCTCAACCCCATAGCGGTTTCATGAGACCGCGGCCATATTCCGTCATATTCCTAGCGGTCTCACGAGGTCACACCCACCCACAGCACTTTAACCCATAAAAACTTATATACTACTTTTCTATGAAAAATTTGGCGTTATATAATCAATATTAAATACTCTATCCTCTAGTGCAATAAAAAAACTGTTATCCTATGAATATATATTTATAATCTACGTTTATTTCATACGGCATTTTCGCGTGTATGTTATTGTGTTGATTTTTGGATTTTTCTAGTGTTTTATTAGTGTTTTAGTATAGTGTTGTTTTTTTTTAAAATTTGTAATGAAAATTTTGTGTGAATATAATTTATCTTTTTACGTAAATAATTTCGAGTAATATATATTGAAATAATTGTGATTTTCACGCTGCCGACATTCGCTTGGTATGTTTCTTTTGTTATCAAAAGACAATAAAATCTTTTTGTAATGAAGTAAAAGGCTTTTGTTTAGAATACAAGATAGATAATTTTGTATAGATTTTATAATGCTAAACTTCTTCATAGAAAAGTAGTCTCTAAATATAAGTTTTAATGATTTTAAGTGCTGTGGGTGGGTGCGGTCGCATGGGACCGCTCGGGATTTGCTGGGCGCATGCGACTGCAAGGGGTTTTTAAGGCTTGAAGGGTTAACAGGTCGTCATTCCATCAAGTGGGAAGCCGCTCTACACGTCGCTTACCGATACGATGTGCTTTCTTCCTTCCTTCTTCTTTTATCTTTTTATTTTTCTACCAGCATTTTCCCGCGGCGTTGCTCCCGTGGACTTCGCTTTGTCAATATTGTTTATGATCATTTAACAATCCAGTTTTTTAAAAATATTAAATGACAACACCATGAATAATGAATTATTAACAAAATTCTTCTTCTACACTTGCCATTTGCCGAAGTACCACTGGACCATGATTGTTTTTTTTTAACTAAATCTATTTTGTTTCTTGGTAAACCATAGTTTCAGCGAATGCGACACGAAAACTTGACATTCTATTTGTCATATCGAACTGAAAAACAACAAAAATCCGCTCGATTTGTTTGAATATTGCATCGCGTGTGAAAGCTTTTTTGACATTGCAACAGCTAAAGTTTAACTGCAGAGCATAGACATTTTTTCATTGAGGGGGTTTAAAAAGTTAAATATGTGAAATTAATTACCTAAAATCTGCGTAAAAATAAAATGTACCTAGTTTAGGGCCAGTTTACGCAAAATATTGTATGTTCGACACGATTTTCCCGCTCGAGAATTGATACTTCTTGAAATATTTTATGGTCTGAAAAATATGCGCATACGTTAAATATACAACAGAATTCTCTATTTGATAGATTTTGAAGAAAGTTTCTTGATTTTTTTGAGCGATATCCATATAACATTTTTCAATACTTGAAAGGCATTCATACAATAATTTGTATTAGATTTTTAATCGGCTACTTTTATATTTAAATCCTTAATTTCCTGATAATAAACAAAAACGTTTCAAATAAAGTAACTTTTTGTCTGCCGAATGTCGCACGCTTACTTCGTGTTGGACAAATATGCATACAGTGGTGAAGGGTGCGCCAAAAGTTTTTTAATGTAGGAAAATTTCGCCTCAAAGTGAGCGACTACTATACGACCATGCGAAACATAGCAGAATAAAGCTGCTATTTTACGCTGGTATTCGGTGAGAGCTCGGTTCTTCCCCGGTCGAGCCGACCCATTTGTGCTAACGTACCATAATATACATAGCTGCAACGTGGCTCTACACGTCGCTTACCTTCTTATGAAACATATTTAATTTACGTTAATATTATTTTTCTCATGTTCTCGTTGCTACTATATTTTAGTTTTAGTCAACTTTTAATTTATTTTAACTCGAATTCCACGTTGAAGGTGTTTACGTAATCGCAACCGTCAGTGTTCGTAACCCATTTGAACTGAAGTTTACCATATATGCTACTTTAATTGGCGATCAATAATTACATATAAGTAAGTAGTTTAATGGGCCTATGCTCTATGTAGGGCGTCGTTAAAATGTTACATAGGTGTATTGCATTTTTCTATGTAAAGTCCAAATATTCACACACTATTCAATTTTAACATGCCTTCAAGTCTCATGCTGTCTCTATCTCTTTTAGTCAAAGTAACTGTGACACTAAGAGACTTAACGCGACATCTTAAAATTCAGTAGCCGTTGGGTATTTAGCTGTTAGTCTGATTATAATAGCCAACGTCCAGCAAGCAGCATAAAATGTTTCTTAATGGATGAAACTTTCTTCGTTTTTTGCTGTAATCATTTTCAGGAAAGCTGTCGCTACTCACGACGTGGGTGGATTTAGAATTTTTCCCATTTCTGCTTAGCTTATATGTATGAGGTGTTACCTTCAGATTTCACATATGTGCGTTGTATACGTAGTCTAACCTTAAAGCAACAGCAACTTGGTGAATAGTTAACAGCTGAACATAGACCTACTTCACACTGTGTGGGAATAGTCATAATTGGAACCATTGGCGGGTGACAATATTATTTATTAATAAGGAAAACTGTGTTTTCAGATTTATTTTATTTTATAGTAGTTTAATTTTTTTATAGTAGCAGGTTGAAAAACGAACACACATTCCACCTGATGGTAAGTGGATGCTGTGGCCCATGAACATCTACATGTATCCTCGATTAGGAACCGAAATGCAGATGCGTTGTCATCCCTGAGGACTAAAATCGAAAGCCACGTTTTCAGTAAAGAGGGTCTCAGGTTCTCTATACTCATCATCCAAAACACAGCAGCATTGTGTGATAAACGAGCACACAGTCCACTTGATGGTAAGTGGATGCTGTGGCCCATAGACATCCACATGTATCCTCGATTAGGAATCGAGTTCGGTTCCAGTAAAAAGGGTCTCCAGTTCTCTACACTCACTTTACGAAACCCAGCAGCATGACGCTGCTATTTTACGCTGGTATTCTGTGAAAGTGTCCTGCCCCGGGGACCCATTCGTGTTAGTTATTTCGTGTATGTTAAAAACCACCATAATATAGTTACATAAAATATTTTGGTATCAATTTATTATTATTATTTAGGTTTAAGTACAAAATAAGAATTGACTGGACTGGGCACTCGTATGGACTTCAGAATTATGGCCATTACAGCTTACACCATAATTACCTCCTTACTTCAGTAGCGATCCGATAGTAGATCTTGTTAATATAAGATGACAAAATCGTGTACATAATAATCTAGTGATGAGTGAACTCTAGTGAAGAATTATGATGATTAACACAATCCCGATGATCAAAATAAAACTAAGCGGCTTTTTGCTGATATTTTACGCTGGTAAAGAATATGACACAACTCATTTTCTATCTGCTAAACTGAGAGTTAGTATTAATTTGCTATTTTGGGTTTTCGGTTCTCATAACACAACCTGAGCAACCCACACTGGACCCGTGACGTTATATCAAGGTTATCGAACCATAAAGTTTCGTGTACGTCATATTGAAATATTTTGGTAGTCTACGAAAATTCATTAGAATTGAGCCCCGAACTTCACAATCTAGTTGTAATTTGGCTTCCCACGTTTTGAATAAAAGCAGTCGCATATTTGTATTTTGTAATTATATTGGGATAGTGTCACGAGCTAAGCACATGGCAGCGGAGCTCCCAAACTAATGTTCTCTACTATATGTATCTCATTAAGATATAACGTACGATATCCCATTAGATCTTCATGCGTGTTCATGCTCGTATGGTCGTCGATCAAGGCACAGAATCCGATGCGACAGAGTTGGCTTTGTCTCCAAATCGAAATTTATGTAATTCCCGGTTCCTATTGAGACAGTGTTATATTCACCGATAACGACACGATTCCGGAACGCGATTTATATCGTGCTTTGTGTCTATATAATAGTCAATAATAAAATAAATAAATGGATATTACAGTATAGTAGGCTACAAATTAGGTTTTATCCTATATTACAAGATATTTAAAGTCAAATAATATTTTTAATGCTGGCCGTATGATAATGAAGCTCTAATTATTTAAATAATACTAGTTTTTACGCATTTTATCTCGTATATTAAGCTGATGTGGGCGCCAAAAGTAGATTTTTCACGCTTTAAAAGTGCAATTTTTGTCATTAAAAACCACGAATTCACATTTTTTTTTAAATTCAATATGAAAGTTAAAGATTTTTGTTAGTGAATTATGGTAGCCAAAACACATTTTGGCTCGATAGAAAAAGATCGCAAAGTTTCCTCAAAATTTCCAATTTTAGGTACGTAGTAGACGTAAGTGAAAAAGCAGTTTCATTCGAATGTAATGAAATCAATTTCATAATGATTTCTTTAGCGAACACTCACATGAAATATCGGTTTTGAGAAGCAGTGCGGGAAGGATGGTGTGTCCTATTGTATATTCATTGAATTCAGGCTATGTGTTCACCAGTAAATACATGAGTGAATTGGAGGTTTATTTTTCAATAAAAAAGTGTAAATAATTTAAAAAAAGAAATATCAAATAAATATTGTGCGGTTAAATAGCGCGCGAGCCGACCAAACACTCCATATAAAGCGTGAAAAATCTGCTTTATGGCGCCCACTTCACCTTAATTTAAAAAAAAGAAGACATGTGAAGTTCGCCAATTCG